CTCCTCCGCGGGGGCCTGCGCCAGCTCCAGCCCCGGCTCCTGGCTTTCCAAGGGCTCCATTGGCAACTCGGCTCCGGCTCGGTCTCCTCTGGATGCCGCCCGGGCTCCCTCCATCCCGGGCGCGGAGCCACGGAGAGACGCACGGTACAGCTCACCTGGGCTCAGGTAGGGGTCCGTTTCGCCTCCCGGGTCGGGATTGGTCCAGCTGACCGGCTGAAGTTGTCGAACCACGCCCCTCCCCGGGGTGCCACACCCTCCAACCAGCTCCCCTCGGGGATTGGCTGCAATTGGATTGGCCACGCCCCCCAGGTCCCCGGCCCTTCCTTCGCCAGGCACCGGGGAGTGCGGGGCGGAAGGGCCTGGGTGAGCGGTTTTCCGGGGAAGGTCTGGGAGCAGCTTTCAGAGAGAACCCGGAGCCCCGCCTGCCTCTTCGCTCTTCTTTGTGCTGAGTCCCACGCACTTCCTCTCCCACCCCAGCCCTCAGCCTCCGGCGCATTTGGAAAGTTACAACTTGGGCGGGGCGGGTTGGTCAAGTCTTGCAGAGATCCGCAGACCCCAGAAAAACCAGGGCTCCAAAAGAAATGGGGCGAGAGAACAGGCATAAAGAAAAAGAAAGAAATGGGGCGGCCTGCGGAAAAGCAGCCGAGCGGGTTGTCCCGACAATGTAGTGAGAGGAGGGGCGCCACACCTGAGAGGACCCCCGACCCCTTCCCGCACAGTCCCAGGCCTGACTCCTGCTAGCTCGCCCCTTAAAGACTGAGAAATGAAAATGTGTCTTTTCTTTATATATATAAATGTGTTTTATAAATACATATATAATTGATTTTTTTACAGAGAGGAAGGGAGAGGGATAGAGTGTTAGAAACATCAATGAGAGAGAAACATCGATCAGCTGCCTCCTGCACACCCCTTACTGAGGATGTGCCTGCAACCAAGGTACATGCCCTTGACCGGAATGGAACCTGGGACCCTTGAGTCGCAGGACAACGCTCTATCCACTGAGCCAAACCGGTCAGGGCAAAATGTGTCTCTTCATGGTGGCAGGAGCTGGTCCCCTGCCAGCCTGGTGAAACAATTTTTGGACTGGAACCCGGATTCTTTGTCCGCCAGAGTGGAAGAATGAACCCACGGACAGAGTAGTATAGCAAAGGTGGAGATTTATGGAAGAACAAGTACAGACTCCCACATGGGGAGGGGGAAAGGGTCCCACTGAGTTCCCTTTCCCTATGGCGTATAAAGGCTGCAGATCCTGGTGCCTTGGTATCCCCTCTGACTGGTCACTATTCCCTTAGACTGGTTACTATAGTAAATCCTGAACTCAAAGGTCAAACACCACAAGGGACATGTGATGCCCTCCTCCCTCATTGTTCTTTTCTTTCTGGCTTTCTTCCTTCTTCTTTATTTTGTAAATATCATAGACCTTTTTGGCTACTTCCAGCTCCCTTGTCTTATGTAAACACAACTGTTGCTGCTCTCCGCACCTGGTTTCCTTGTGTTATGGAGATGTACCTTCTCCCAACCTGTAGCCCTGTGTTTTTCCATGGTCCCCAATTCTAAAAATTCCCTTCGCCTGCCTACATTCCCCTAAAATTCCTGCTTCGCTGGTGTGCTGGAATACAGGTTTCCCAACCCTGCCAGTGAGCTGAACACCATTAAAAAAAATAATAACAAATTCCTGGCTGGGCTCCACCCAGTCCTACTGAATCGCACAAGGGGATGAGGTCAGTGGTATTTTTATCAAGTGCCCCAGGGTAGGATTGGCAGATAAAGTACAAGCCAATCTGTTAAATCTGAATTTCAGATAAACTAGAGGTTTTGTGTGTGTGTGTGTGTTTATAAGTATGTCCTAAGTGTTGTGTGGGATACACTTATATTTTAAAATTGTTATCTAGAATTTAAACTGCCTCCTATATTCTTATTTGCTAAGTCTGGCCACCCTACCCCAGGAACCTCTGGAGAGGCATGAATCAGATTCCCCCTTGGAGCCCTCAGAAAGAACCCGTCCTGCTGACACCTTGATCTTGGGCTTCCAGCCTCCAGAACTGTACATTTCTGTCTTTTCAGTCATTCCGTTTGTTATGGGAGCCCTAGGAGTCACCTGTCCAGATGGTTGCCTGCCCTGGGACGACTCTCCCGACTCAGGTGGTCTCCGCACCCCCACCCTTCACCATCGCTGGCTCAGCTGTGCCATTCAGATTCTCCCTCATGAGAAGCTGGCATTTGCTCTGAGTGAGATACCCAAAGGTGGAAGTTGTCACAAGTCTCAATAGGACAGCTCTCTGGAGAGGAGGCCCACAGACTGCCCCCCGGTCACTGGAGTCTCTCTAGTTTCAGCCCTTCCTAAAGATTGCTTGTTTAGCCCTTTTCGGCGTGGCTCAGTTGGATGGGCATCCTCTGGTGCATCAAGAAGTCGTGGGTTCCATTCCTGGTCAGGGCACATGCCTGAGTTAGAGGGCCTGCAGGAGGCAGCCGATCACAGTAATGATTCTCTCTCTCTCTCTCTCTCCCTCCCTCTCCTGCCGGTCTAAAAAAAAAAAAAAAAGAAGATTGCTTGTGCAACTCTGGATTTCTAAGACCCTACCCTCTTTACCTTATTTGTTTGTTAGTTTTTGATTAATACTGACTGGAAGATATTTTTTCCACTGATTTTTAGAGAGTGGAAGGAAGGGAGGGACAGATTAAGAGAGAGGGAGAAACATCGATTGGTTGACTCCCACATGCAGGGGATCAAACCTGCAGCCCAGATATGAGCCCTTGACCAAGAATCAAGCCTTCAGCTTTCCATGTGTGGGCTGATGCTCTAACCATTTAGAAACACTGGCCAGGGCTTCTTTATTTATTGAGTAGAGAGAGAGAGGAAGGGAGAGAGAGAGACCGAGAGACACTGATTTCTTTTTTCACTTATTTATGCATTCATTGGTTGATTCTGTATGTGTTCTGACGGGAGATCTATCCCGCAACCTTGGCATATTGGGTTGATGCTCTAACCAACTGAGCTACCCGGGCAGGGCTTTTCTGCTTTAAGTTAGCATGACGTTCACTACTGTGATTGCCAGTGGAAAAACCCCAAATCCAACCACCACTGCCTTGGGCCCCGCGGGGCTCTCTCGGGATGGGCACCAGGCTTCGGAGCAGTCTCCATCGTGCCTTCCATGGCAGAGTCACGGGGGCCCTGGCATCACAACTTCCAAGGCCATTTACAACTTCCATGGTGGTGAACCCTAACGCAGGTGAGTCGCCCAAATGTGTCCAGGGGGTCCCGACCCTGGCTAGCCAAGCAGAACAAGTACTGCAGTCCTTTCCTCCATCCCTCTTTCTCACTTTAAAACCCCCTTTCTACCACACCAGCAATACATGCCCGTGATTCAGAAGTTAAATATTACAGAAACCCACACTGTGCAAAGTGAAGGTCCCCAGTACTTCATGCCCCAGAGACCTCCATTACGAATGTTTGGGTGTACACTCTCCTGGCTCTTTCTCTATGCACACCCTGACCTCTATTGTGATATGTAGGTATTTTTTATTTCCAAAACTTCCCTCATGATGACATGTAACCTAGACCTAGTTTATTTAAGCCGTCTCCCTCCGGTGCACATTCGAGCTGTTTCCATTGGTGACATAATTGCTGCAATGCTGCAAATGCCACAGTTATAATTCAGTGACCATCCTTGCACATTTTTTTTTAAATCACATCTCTGATGCTATTTTCAGAAGAGATTAATTAAAATGGAACTGCTCAGCCAAAGGTGCTCCGACGGACAATGCTACAATGGCCCAATTACTCACAAGAGAGCGGGTAGCTCCCTGCAGCCTCACCAGCACTTGAAATGATCAGTCTCTTAGTCTTTCCCAATCTGGTGGGTGAAAATATGAAATTTCAACTTGCATTTAAAAAAAATATATATTTTATTGATTTTTTTACAGAGAGGAAGGGAGAAGGATAGAGAGTTAGAAACATCGATGAGAGAGAAACATCGATCAGGTGCCTCCTGCACAGCTCCTACTGAGGATGTGCCCGCAACAAGCTATATGCCCTTGACTGGAATCGAACCTGGGACCTTTCAGTCCGCAGGCCGACACTCTATTCACTGAGCCAAACCGGTTATGGCTCAACTTGCATTTTTTTTTAAAATATATTTTATTGATTTTTTACAGAGAGGAAGGGAGAGAGACAGAGAGTCAGAAACATCGATGAGAGAGAAACATCAATCAGCTGCCTCCTGCACATCCCCCACTGGGGAATTGCCTGCAACCCAGGTACATGCCCCCGACCGGAATCGAACCTGGGACCCCTCAGTCCGCAGGCCGACGCTCCATCCACTGAGCCAAACCGGTTTCGGCCCAACTTGCATTTTTTAATTATAAATGAGGTTGAAGTTCTTTTCATTTGTTAACTGTGTTATGAGAAGGGTCTTTGCCAGTCTCAGGGCTGTGTGGAGGGCCACTGGGCCTCCTCCAGGTCACCAGCTGGTTCCAGGAAGTGATTCAGTAGGAACCAGGGTTCACTGGTCCAGGGAGGTGATGGTATCTGGCCTGTCTAAACAGACTAAAGCGTTCTAAGAGCATAAACTAAACCATGGCTGGCTGCTCCAAAGAGGAAACAAACATGCCCACCCCTGGCATTTGGAATCTTCTAGGGCTCCTAGACATAGATAACGAGGAGGATGGGGGTTTCTGCATGGCCAGCTCCCTGGCACGGTCAGTCCATCCTCGCATTCCATCTGCTCAGAGACTCAGGGGAACCCAAGCCAGAATGGCACTCTCACCCCCAGCTCCCCGTCCCTCACCTGGGGACTGTTTTCATAGCCTCAGCACTGTTTTCAGCCACCTGTGCACATATGCGTCTTGTTATTTAATGTTTGTCGCTGGCATTAGATGCTAGAAAGCATTACTGTAGCTCCAGGTCAGAATGGTATCTGGCATGCCCATCCGTGGTTCTTGCTGGTCACCCCCGTGGCTCAGTGAATATTTGTGAAATAAAAACTGCGGAACAGGTGCTTGACATTCCTTGCCTTATTTCTCTCCCTCAATTTTTATTTGACAGATATTAAGCATTAAGAAAAATGAAAGGAGCCCTAGCCAGTTTGGCTCAATGGATAGAGCACTGGCCCTTGGACTGAAGGGTCCTGGGTTTGATTCCCGTCCAGGGCTGTATCTCGACTGCAGGCTTGATCCCTGGCCCTGGTCTGGGTGCATGCGGGAGACAACCAATCGATGTGTCTCTCTCACATCAGTGTTTCTCTCTCTCTGTCTCTCCCCTTCCCTTCCACTCTCTCTAAAAATCAATGGAAGAAAGAAAAAAGAATAAAAACACTTGAATACCCTCCACCTAGACTCAGCAGTTAGCATTTCACCATATTTGCTTTGTCTTTATCTTCATGCAAACATACTTTTGCGGTTATTTTCATGAAACATTTGCATGGACTGCAGACCTGGAGAAATTTCACCCTTAAATACTCAGCATGTATGTTCTATGTACACACGTTTCTACCTAAGTACAGTGTCATTCTCACAACCAAGGAATGAGCAATTAGTCCATGCTAGATGATATGTACAGGTCATATTTAAATTTCTCCAATTTTTTCAAACCAGGATCTAATCAAGACTCATACATTGCATTTGGCTGTTATGTCTATTTCCTATTCCCATTAACTGTGAGGAAGGCATGAAAATGCCTACTTTACAGGTGAGGAAAGTGAGAGTCAGGGAGGGGGAGTAACCTGCCAGACCACGTGACTCTAGGATGGGAAAGTCAAGCTGCCTTCATGTGTCTCTGCCTCCCAAACATGTCTCTTCTCCCTCTTTCCTGCATCTCGCTCCCCTATATCTGGGTTCCCTAGAGGTTGCATTTCCAGATCCTGGTGTGTCTGGTCCATGCAAGTCATGGGCTGGGGCCACGGTGGAGGCGCCAATCCCGTTACCTAGCCAACTAGGCTTCACTTTCAAGTCCCTCCAGCCACACCCCCGCTGCAACAGGGATTGAGAAAACATTCCACCTGGGTACCTGCATGCTCACCCAAGGAGACTTAAGGAAGAGCCCTAACAGGCAGAAAAACATCTCCCTGAGTCATCAGCTGCTGCTCTCTGCAAGTCAAAACACAGACTTGCTGGGAGCTCCACCCCTAGAATTCATTCCTGTAGACTGCAGTGCGCTAGGATTGTGAGTATAACTAACGTGTGTGAGCAGACAGCCTGGCCCATGCAGTAACGCCTGGGCTATCCTCAGCTTCCTGTGTATGATTATTTTATGAGTCTAGGCTTTTAAAAACGAAACACTAAAAAAAAAAAAAAACCCAACTCTTTTTTTTGGTAATGAGTTTATAGGAAAGAAAGATGGCTACCTAATTTTTTTTTCACTTGTTTCTATATTTGTTTGTTTTTTCTTTTTCAATTACAGTTGACATTCAATATTATTTTATATTAGTTTCAGGTGTACAACTTGATAGTACACCTGAATATAATTTGCAAAGTGAGCCCCCTGGTAAGTCGAGTGCCAGCTGGCACCATTGTTATTGTAGTACTAGAGGCCTGGTGCACAGATTCATGCACCAGTGGGGTCCCTCAGCTTGGCCTATGTCGATGGGGCCAAAACCAGCCCTCTGACATCCCTTGAGGGGTTCTGGATTGCAAGAGGGTGCAGGCCAGGCTGAGGGACCCCACCGGTGCACCATTGGGGCCGGGGAGGGACCATGGAGGGCTCCAGGCAGGGTGTGTCTGGCCCGTCTCGCCCAGTTCTGATCGGCCAGACTCCAGCAGCAAGCTAACCTACTGGTCAGAGCGTCTGCCCCTCATGGTCAGTGCACGTCATAGTGACTGATTGAACAGTCGAACGGACGGTTGGACACTTAGCATATTAGGCTTTTATTATATAGGATTATTGATTGTATTCTCTATGCTGTACTATTTTCTTTAAATATATTTTTATTCATTTCAGAGACTTTGCTGAATACTATTTTTAAACTACCAATTTGTACTTAATCCCTTCGTGTTTTTCACCAAGTCCCCTAACCCCCCCTTCCCTCTGGCAACCCTCAATTTGTTTTCTGTATCTATGATTCTGTTTTTGTTTTGTTTATTTTGTTTTTTAGATTCTACATATAAGTGAAATCATATAGTATTTGTCTTTCCCTGTATGACTTATTTTACTTAACATAATACCCTTTAAGTCCATCCATGTGGTCACAAATGGTAAGATTTTATTCTTTTTATGGCTGAGTAATATGCCATTGTATATATGAACCACATCTTCTTTATCCAATTGTCTATTGATGGCTTGTATGGTCAATTGATTGCTTCCATATCTTGGCTATTGTAAATAACACTGCAATGAACATAGAGGTGCATGTATACTTTTGAATTAGTGTTCTGGATTTCTTCAGATATATACTCAAAAGTGGAATTGCTGAGTCATAAGGGAGTTTTATTTTTAATTTTTCGAGGAACCTCCATACTGTTTTCCATAGTGGTTGCACCAATTTGCAACCTCACCAACAGTGCACGAGGGTTCCCATTTCTCTACATCCTCTCCAACACTTGCTGTCTGTTGATTTATTGATGATAACCATTCTGACAGGTGTGAGGTGGTATCTCATTGCAGTTTTAATTTGAATTTCTCTGATGATTAGTGATGTTGAACATCTTTTCATTTTTTAATTGGATTGTTGTGGGGGTTTTGGGTATTGAGTTGTATGTGTTCTTTGAAGGTTTTGGATATTAGCCCTTTATTATTAGTGAATATCTTCTCCCATTCCATAGGCTGTCTTTTCATTTTATTGATGGTTTCCTTTGCTGTGCAAAAATTCTTTAGTTTGATGTAGTCCCATTTGTTGTTTTTTGCTTTTGTTTCCCTAGCCGGAGGATATATATCAGAAAAGTTTTTATTAAAAGAAATGTCAGAGTTTACTGTCTATGTTTTCTTCTAGGAGTTTTATGGTTTCAGGTCTTACATTTAAGTCTTTAATACATTTAAGTTTATTGTTTATGATGTAAGAAGGTGGTCTAGTTTAAATTATTTTTGCATGTATCCAGTTTTCCCAATGCCATTTATTGAATAGATTGTCTTTACCCTATTGAATAGTCTTGCTTCCTTTGTTATAGATTAATTGACCATGTAGGTTTACGATTATTTTTGGGCTTTCTCTTCTGTTCCATTGATCTATATGTTAGTTTTTATGCCAGTGTCATGCTGTTTTAATTACTACAGCCTTGTACTATAGTGATATCGTGTATT